GCACCCATTGTGTTGAAGCAAGTTACTTCATGTAATATTAATGACATTAATAACACTGTGTTAAGAAAGCTGAACATCAAACTCATCCAGGTAATTATCAATTATGACTGTGTTATATTGTTAGTGTGTTATATTGTTGGTGTGTTATATCGTTGGTGTGTTATATTGTTGGTATAAAGTAGAGCCTTCATCAAACCTTTTTTTACCTGTTCTTTAACAGCGCCTTGGACTCACTTTTCTCAGGCCACGTATAGCAGCATGGAGGTAAGCTATTGTCTTGTAGTTATTGGGAATCAAGGGTGTAGCAGTAGTACACTTGACTCTCACCTCTAGGGTCACACCTTCCAGGACTCATGTTTCTCGATTGGTTCAAGGATTTTCTCGAGGCTCTAGCCTTACCCCCTCACCATCACCTAAAAGGCTAAATTCCAATTCTTGCTCTGACTTTGATCAGTACAGAGGTCGTTTCATGGTTCAATCAGTGATTAAGCTGTGCCCTGACTTAGAATAGCCTAGAGGTTGTTTCAGTTTTTGATAAAATGGATGCATTAATTTTTTGTTATTTCATAAATGATACAATTTATTAATTTGTAGTCATTTATGATGACCATATGATACTGTGTTCTTAGATATCAGAGAGGGAACAGGTCACTGATTATTAACTTGGAAAAATCACAGAACAAAGAAATACAAGTAGGTAACAATGAACTACTGTGCTGTGATTCTATTGAGAAACCCTTAAGATATACTCTCCTTGTATCCTATATAAGTCCACCAACAATGTTTTCTGGACCTAGACAATATACCCTCCTCAGACCCTCCCCACCCCTTGGAAATCTCAATCCCCCTCCATGGGGGAAGTATGGATATTTTCTAGTACTACACAATATACCCTCCTCAGACCCTCCCCACCCCTTGGAAATCTCAATCCCACTCCATGGGGTAGATATGGATATTTTCTGGTAGTACACAATATACCCTCCTCAGACCCTTTTTGGAAATTACAACTCCTCTCTTAAGAAACATGCCTGCCTCATAAATTTTTAGACTGTTATTTTTTTTGTTTTGTTTTTCAGGACACGACGAAAAATGGACACGTTTCTGCCTCAGAGGTAAAAACTACTGAATTTAGATTATAAWCTTCACTGCACTTCTACTAGTTTTGTAACTCAATACTTAAATCACAGGTCTATTGAATGTAAATATTGTGGATCTAACAGTCACTGTAGTTTACGCTGGAGACAATTCTAAAGCAATCTCATTCATTTCCACTTTGACAGGAAGAGGA